AATGGTCATCATTTACTCACTCTCAACTTGTTACAAGCCTGTTGGAGTTTCTTTTCTGTTGAACACAAAAGGGCCATTCGCTTCTATAGTATCTTTTCCCTGCAATATTGGTTTCCAACATTCTTCAAAATATCTTATTTTGTGTTCAACACAAAGAGAACAGTTTAAATGTATTAAACAGCATGATGGTGAATAAAGGATGAAAGGATTTAATTTTTTGGGTGAATTATCCCTTTTAACAGGCTTCTCCAAACACGCATTTAGGAGGGGACATTCTAAAACACTTAACAAAAAAAAAGCTTAATGTGGCTTAATGTATCTAAATGTATTTTCTTAATGTATTTTACTTTTTATCATTTTTTATTATTTGTTTTTATTTTTCTTGTACTTGTTTCTTTTATTCTTGTTTATGTAAACCACTTTGAATTACCACTGTGTATGAAATGTGCTATATAAATAAACTTGCCTAAACATCAACCAAATTTTTGTCAAATTGTAATTGTAATTAACCCCAACTACTGTAAAAAGAACGAGTCACAATTCCATAGATAAAGTGAAAAACATTACATTAAGCGTTTTCTCCCCTATTGAAGTCTATTATAAAGAAAAAGCTTAATGTAAACTAAAGTCCCTTTACAACAAGCGGGTAAAATTAAATTTCTATCAAATTTTACTCATCATGACAAACACTTTCTGATGTCAAAAGAATGAGCCCTAATTTTACTGAGTGAAAAATTTCACGTTATGCGTTTTAAGTCCACATAAGGAAACAGCTTAACGTACCTTAACACAGACCAGGGAAACTCAAATTTCTGTCAAACTTTACTTGTGATTAACACTAACTACTGTCAAAAGAACAGGCCCTGATTCCATAGATAGTGAACAACATCAAAATAAGCGTTTTTCCCCCTTTGAAATCTATAATAAGGAAAGGTTTAACATAACTTTACAACAACTGAGGGAAACCAAACGTTAAAAAGGCTGTTTATAAAATCAAAAGTTAGTGTTAACCACCAGTAAAATTTGATAGGGATTAGATTTTCCCTGCTTGTTGTTGAGATACATTAAGCCACGTTAAGCTTTTTCCTTATAATAATAGACTTTAATAGGAGAGAAAACGCTTAATGTGATGCTTTTCACTTTATCTATGGAATTGGCACTTGTTCTTTTAACAGTAGTTGGGGTTAATTACAAGTACAATTTGACAGAAATTTGGGTTTCTCTGGTTGATGGTTAGGTACATTAAGCCACGTTAAGCGTTTTAGAATGTACCTTTAGTAGGTAAAAACACGTATTTAGGTGGACAAATTCACCTTTATCACATAAGCAATACATAAAAACCTGAAAATAATGTAAGTCAGTGGCTATCTAGACTAGAGAATTCAATAACAAACAATAGCATTGCGGTGTCGTCAAAACCGAGACGCTGCTTAAATATGTGTTCAGCTTAAATACATCAGCACAGTGATGTTAGCATTCACTCAATGTCCGTGCACTGAACAGGAAGTGTCCGTTCGTCCCCGTGTTTAATAGCGGCATAATTAGTACAAGATGTCTGCCAACTGAAAGAAATGCCCCTTTAAATGCTCGTGTATTGACGGACCGCGCATCCCTCATCCTGTAACTGTTATCAATTATTCAAATTGACCAAGAGTCATTAATAGTAAGTGAGCTCGTGAACTGGTCTATTCCTTCCCTCGAGACCTGAAATTTCGCGGATCACTTGGATGCAGAACACTACTCTTCCAGGCCGATCATTCAAACACTTACCGTCCCGTATCATCTAATTAAAAATGTTTGACCATACCTACTAAATGTCCGCACGAATAGGCGCGGAATGAACTGTTTCCCTCTCCGTGGTGTTTTTTCGGGATCTAAAGGATTAGCGGGTCACTCACTAGCAGAAAGCAGTCCCTCCCTCAGCCAGGAAGTCAGCTGACAGTGTTCACAGTGCGCATGCGTATAACAAGTGACAACGCAAGCCTATACAGCTGTATTCCTTTCATTCATTTTTTTTCATAATAAACATATTGCATTCTCGATATGTATACATTGTACACATATAAAAAACAGTCATAATTTATAGGGTCCTCTCTGCAAACATATTTGCCTGTTTAATACTTATGATCCAAATCTTTGGCGTAAAAATAATATAATATTTAAGCCAGTGGTTCTCAAACTTTTTTCACCAAGTACCACCTTAGAAAAAAATCGTCTCTCCAAGTACCACCTTACGACGCTATTTTTTAACCAGTATTAAAAAATAGCGTCGTAAGCCTAATTAAGCAGCTACAGGTGTGCACAGTTTTAAAACGATGCAGATTACTTCCTATTAGTAAGAATATGTATTATTGTCAGTCACTTTAAACATTTGAAATAGTCTGAACATTAACTGTGCTTGCAGATTAAAAAAAAAAAAGTTTTAGTTAAAATGTGCTTTTAAAAGTTCATTAAAAAATGGCGCTGTTCTTAAAAAGTAAAAAGAAAACTGCTGTACTTAAATCTAAAGTATTCATAGTAGCCTATTCATCAAAAGCTGGAAATGCTGCTTGGACCTTATAAATATAGGCTATATGTCATATTCCTACACTTTCAGACAAATCTTGAAATACATGTTAAATGTACATGACAGGGTTCATACAGGCACAGCCTAATGAAAATCAATTCCAGCACCTATTTTTTTTTCAAGACTGACATGCTATGTATTGAAGACCTGAAATGTATTCTCAGCAACCCATAAAACATTGCATAAGAATAGATACAAATAAAAACCATTAATAATAATACTTATTAATCATATATTAATAATATAATAAACCTGCACTAAGTGCTTGTGAAATCTTTTTTGTACTCAAGTAAAAATACTATTACACTGCTAAAATAACAAAAAATTTAGTAAATAATACTAATATTAGGTATACGAATTACTCTTTTTAAAAAGTACTAGTTGGTTACTTTTGAAAAAAAATCTGATTTTCATTATGAAATCACTTTTTTTAAGTGTAAACCTGATTTAATGGTTTGATCGCTTACATCCCAAAGCTAGATGTATAATTTGCACTAACAAAGGAAGTATGGTCGATTTTTCCTTTCATGACAATTAATCTTTTTCAATAGCACTGGTAAAACTACCAAATAATCTTTAAGGCCATAGAGACACTTTTTGCCCATTTTTAAAAATATATATTTTTAAGCTTTGAAAGGTTAAATTAAAGTATATGGTAAAAAGATTTAAATTTAGCCTTTTATTTACATATTTTACACTATTTTCTTTACAATATGGCAAATTTGTTTCTTAAATAGCTGTACATCACATGTAGATTTTATTTTACACTTGATCTTGATCTAAAATAGAAACGTAAAAAAATACAAGTACACTGTTAGTAAAAAAAAATAAAACAAATGACTTCATTTTACTTGAGGTATTTGAAATATGACGACACTACATTTATCAAAGCAGCGCTTTAAGAGCCTTATTGTAAATTGTGATAAATAAACAATAAGTAGGCTAATGGATTGCTTTGACCTGTAATGCTTTAGGACAGATCAGAATACAGCTAAATGTATAAATCACACAAATACCTCACCCAGAAACATTTCCAGCATAATTATTTTGTCGTAAAGAAATAAAAAATGTTCCACCTTTGCTAAAAGTAAGTTTCACTTCACAACACAGCCAAATAAGAAGACCATTAGCATTGTCATCGATCATGTATCAATCTATTTCTAAATATTTGATAACTTTGAATACTTTTGACTAAATTTAGTTAAGGAGCAAAGATAAATAATGTCTAATTTAATAGTGGAAAGATCGCGATTGTTTTCTATCTGAGCACACACGCGATCATGAGAGCACTTGCAGTTCATTTGAAAAAAGCCTATTTAAGAGCTCGCATATCTGTTTTAGCGATTTGCACACATGAATGCGCTCTCGTGTTAAAATAAAGCACTCGCCGCATTTGCAGAAATGAGTAATTGCGCAATACCTTCATTCCCGCGCCGCCATTCAGAATGTATTTGGAGGAGTGACAGGTCAGAGGCGAGTCGACTGGCTGTCGGAGAGCGAAACGTGTATGAAGATCATCAAATAGGCAGGAAATATGTCCGCGGTTTAATTACTCTGCTAGACATCTCTATAGTGAAAACATCCGAGAAGCATTATTCCAACAAAACATTTGTTTTTAAGTAGTTTTTTCTGTCTCTGCAACACAGAAAGCCTTTGTCCCGCCCTTACGTTTCACGCAACTAGACAAGGTCGACTGTGATTGGCCACTTTTCATGTCAGTCAAATCACGCTTCAGAATCAATTCGGAAACTGATTTTCAGCAGCTTATGACACAATGCACTAAAATAAACACTCCAAGCACATCGCTGTGATCGTACGCTTCACAAAACAGCCAATGCCGATCACATCAATGTAATATTACGCATTAAAGGATTAAAAGTGTTAATTGCTTCTTTCATTATTCAGCGATTCCTCCGCGTACCACTGGTACGCGTACCACAGTTTGAGAACCACTGATTTAAGCCATATCAAGAAATATACTTATTTTTATTTGATTAAACACTGCCAAATACTTAATTGCTTTTTATATATGCCATACTGTACGCTGTAAAATAGCTTTTAAAATATTTTATAATGTTGTTAGGCATAGCCTATTTACGTGAAAACGCCATAGTGTAGAAAACAAAGTCCGTCGCTGTCCAAGAAGCGAGTAGGTTGAAGCTGCTGGTAAACAACAAAGACTTTCTTGTCTTAATTGAAAGCATTCTGCTCACAAAATGTTTTAACCTACGCACATTTGTTTCATTCCTTCCAAATGAAGACAAAAATCTAATAATGTTCATAAACGACTGACATTGATACATTTACGTGGTCATCAAGCGGAGAATAAACGATGCTTATTTATTTGACTTATTTTGCTAGGTGCGAAGAAGAGAGAAAGACGAAAACTAGAAACATATGATGTAAATATTATTTACGCTTTATATGCAGACGCCAGATGTGACGTCAGGATGCGATGAAGTAAAAGATGCTCGCGCTGGGTGGAGAGAGCGAACGCGCATTCAGACTCACATCAGCATCACAAGATGGGCAACGTTCAAGTGAGTAAAACAGTCGCAGTTAGTTGGTTTTGTCTAATTTCCCTTTTTGTGCGTATATTACAGATAAAAATGTTCATTAGTATGTTGCGGGACATTGTGCAGCCTGCACTGAATGCAGTGACGAGTTTGTTTTTGATTTGTTTTTGTTGCGTTAAACTTTAGTCATTTACCTTTACGCTGTAACAACTTCTACTGCCAATATTAAAACGTGTACATTTTCAATGATTGTAAAATATTCATTTTTATTCCTAGTATTTTATAATGAGTGTGTTGTTTGTTGTACTTTGCTGTGATTTGAGCTGTACTTTACACTCTCTCAGAGGAAGAGTAACGTGTATAAAAGAATAACTGCTTTTGTTATCAATAAGTGCACATTGTTATTATGGCAGTGGGCGAGGCAGAGGAAGGTTTACACTGTTCCTGTCCCTGCCCAGAGATCCCATGACTCAGCTATGTGTTATACAGTTCCCCTCCCCCTACAGACTGCATTGTGATCTAATGCAAAAGTCCTTGAAAACCACTATCTCACTAGGAAAGAATATTGCATCTATTTTACAAACTCTCGAGGATTTTTTTTATTATTGTGTATCTGCATAACATTTTTTACACAACCTTCATTTCAGCCCACAATAACTCCTTTTGAGGACTTTGATGTGGTCGCAGACATCAAGACAATCCGTAAGGCTTGCAAAGGAATGGGTAGGTGAAAAACTGTTAATACTGTTGAAAACACAGACATGTAAATATTGATTGACTGCATAATATAACTTTTGACTGGAAAAAAAACTACGTTTAATTTGTGTTGCATGCTCTTAAAAATAAAGATTCCAAAAAGTGTTTGTTATTGCTGTGCTGCCATATCATAACTTTTCTTTGTACCCAAAAACATTTATTGAACTCTCTTGAACGAATCACTTTCTTGGTTTTAAAAAATGAAATAAACTTTATCTTCACTAAAAAGATTTTGTAGAATGAAAAGATTCAATTGATGTTCTTCTGTTATATTAGTATCAATGAAATAGTATAAAGAGCAAAAGTCAGGTTCTTTAGAGAGAGATAGAGAGAGAGAGAGAGAGAGAGAGAGAGAGAGAGAGAGAGAGAGAGAGAGAGAGAGCATGTGTGTGTGTGTATTTGAATGCAGATCTTAATTACAAGTAGAGGCACCTTATCCGGCCACAAGTCACAACTTTCCTATGAATATATCACTATGTCTATAAATATAACCAGCTTCTAATAGTAAAAAAATATATATTTTATTTTTTATAATCACACATAAAAAAAGTATTGATTGGCATTCTCCCTTTGTACATGTCATCAGAAGGGGAAAACTTTGCCCATTATTTTTCAAACTCTCTCTCTTTAGCCTAGGATGTTAGTCTTGTTTTTAAATCTGCCACTATTCTGACACAGACATTTGTAGCCCCTCCATCTTTTGAAAAAGAGCACAATGTCATTTGAAGCTACAGTCACCATAACAGCACAATTAGAATCAAAGCTTAAAAGGGGCACTTTAAAAGTTATAAAATATTATTTGTAAGATATTTTGTGCTGGAACTTCACATACACACTCTAGGGACATCATAGACTTATTTTACATCTTTTAAAATGGGCATAATAGGTACCCTGTAATGGAGGCAAGTGAGGCCTGCAGTTCTTTAAGGGTGCTTTCACACCTGTGAATCGATTCAGTTGTTCCGAAACAGAGATTACAAATACATTGTTACATTGTTGCTCTTTGCTCTTGGTGTGGTTCGCTTTCACACTGCTAAGTTTCTAATCGGTCCAAAAGAGCTAAAACAAGTCACGTTTGAGTAAACTATCCTCACATTGGTCAGAGTGTCAGGGTTTATTTTGCAGAGTCCCGCTCAGCTGTCAGGAGAGGTGGTGGTTTGGTGGTGTTTGAGGACCGGGAGGGAGATGCAAGATTACAGAGAGATTATCATTCGTTTGCGGGCATCCGGTGACTCGTCAAACTTCCCGCCCTACTCATAATTCTCTCTTCATATAGCCGTATGCCTATTACATATCCATAAAACACAGTGATATAACCGCACTCGGATCGGATCGCTTTCTCACTGCAATCGATCCCCTCCAGAGTTAGTTTCAATCGAGCCAAGACCACCTCATTCAAGCGATCTCGGAGCGATTGATTTTGCATGGATCCGAGAGCGATTGGTGGTTTCATATATGCCAAACAAACCGTGCTAACTGGGCAAACGAGACAGGTTCCGAAACAAAAGTAGGTGTAGGTTCTGGTAGGTATGAAAGCACCCTAAATGTTGTTGGGGGGTCATTTGTGACTACATAGCCCTGTGTGAAAAAAAGTGTCTATCCCCCCACCCGGCCTCTGTTAAAATATAACTTTGATTTTAACATAACTCCAGAGTTCAATTTCTCTAGTCACACCAGACCTGATTGCTGCCACACTTGTTCACAATCAAGAAACCACTTAAATAGGATAAAGTGAATTAGACCAAAAGACCATTTAAAAGCTAGACATAATGCAGAGATCCAAAGAAAAAGAAAATAACTGAGATCTACTTGTCTGAAAAAGGTTATATGGGCCTTTCTAAAGCTTTGGGACTGCAGTGAAACACAGTGCGAGGCAAAAACATGGAAGAGTGGAGAACCCATAAGTGGCCGGCCAACCAAAATGACCTTAACAGCACAGCGACAACTCATCCATGAAGCCTCAACTTACAAAAGACCCCACAACAGCATCCAAAGAACTGCAGGCCTCACCTTTTTATGTTCATGACTTCACCTTCAGAACGAGACTGTGCAAAAATGAATTGCATGACAGAGTTCCAAGACAAAAAACACTGCTGAGCAAAATGAATATAAAGGGTCATCTCAGTTTTGCCTGAAGACGTCTTAATGATTCCCAGGACCTTCTGCAAAATGTGGACTGGTAAGACAATAGTTGGAATGGCAGTGTGATGATCTGGGGTTGTTTTGCTGCCTCAGGACCTGGAAGACTTGCTGTGATAAATAGAACCATGTATTCGGCTGTGTTCCAAAATATCCTGAAGGCATCTGTTAGTGACCTCAAGCTGAAGCGAACTTGGGTTCTGTAGCAGGACAATGATTTGAAGCACAGCAGCAAGTCCACTAATGAATAGCTGAAGAAAAACAAAATGAAGACAAAATGAAGTGGCCTAGTCAAAGTCCGGATCTGAATCCGATTGAGATTCTGTGGCATGACCTTAAGAAGTTTCATGCTTAAAAACTCTCCAATGTGACTGAATTACAACAATTCTGTAAAGATGAGTGGGCCATCTATATTGATTGCACATTCCATCAGTAAGAGCCCTCAGTGTGAAGGTTTAATTGGCAGAGTAATAGCACAGTTGTGCTTAAAATATTGCAATGCACACAACATTATGATTGACATATCAGAGTTTAAATGAGGACAAATTGTTGGTGTTTGTCTCACTGGCTCATCTGTAACCAAGACAGCAAGTGTTTGTGATGAGTCAAGAGCCACGGTATCCAAGATAATGTCAGCACACCACCAAGAAGGACAAACCACATCCAACAGGAGTAACTGTGGATGCAAGAAGAAGCTGTCTGAAAGGGATTTCAGTGTGCTAACCCAGACTGTATGCAAAAAACATAAAACTACAGCTTCTGAACTCACTTCAGAATTAAATGTGCACATCGACTATCCAGTTTTCACCAAAACTGTGCTCCACAGGCTATATACACAATTTACATAGCGGGGCTGCTATAGCCAAAACTTTGGTCACTTGTGCCAATGCCAAACATCAGTTTCAACGGTGTTCATTCATTCAGTCAATTTCTTTTTGGCTTAGTCCCTTTATTAATCTGGGGTCACCACAGCGGAATGAACCGCCAACTTATCCCGCATGTTTTTACCCAGCGGATGCCCTTCCAGCCGCAACCCATCACTGGGAAACATCCATTCACACTCATTCACACACTTACACTACGGACAATTTAGCTTACCCAATTCACCTGTACCACATGTCTTTGGACTTGTGGGGGAAACCGGTGCACCCGGAGGAAACCCACGCGAACACAGAGAGAACATGCAAACTCCACACAGAAACGTCAACTCACCCAGCCGAGGCCCAAACCAGCGACCTTCTTGCAGTGAGGCGAAAGCACTACACACTGCGCCACCGCGTTGCTCGGTTTTTAACGGTCTCAGCAGTGAAAATCTTAAACTGTAGACAATGAGAAACATGGATTGTTTTCTGATGAAGCCAGCTTCACTGTCTTTCCCTCATCCACGGGAAGCCCCAATGAAGTACCACCCAGACTATTGCATGCTCAGCGTGAAGCATAGGGGTAGATCAGTGACGGTTTGGACTGCAATATCATTGCATTCTCTAGGCCCAATACTTGGGTGCGTCACTTCTAAGGACTTCTGAATCGTTCTGGGGGGCCAGGTGCAACCAGTGGTTCAGTTATTATATCCTGAAGGTGGTGCCTTGTATCAAGATAATAATGCACCAATACTTACAGCATGACTTGATGTACATGAAATTAAAGCTGAACATCTCCTATGACCTGCTTAGTCCCTTATTTAGGCCTGCACAGTCACCAGATTTAAATATTATTAAGCCATTTGGGGTATTTTAGAGGAGGGAGTCAGGAAACTTTTGAGAGGGTGCTCGCTGCAGAGCCATTTGAGGAGAGCTGAGCTCCAGCGAGGGGGAGCATGAGCTGTCGCTCCTCCTCCTGTAAGCTGTTTTAATGCGTACACCAACCCCACCCCTAACCCTACCCCCAGTGACATCACTCGTAGAAGAAGTGCAAAAAAGGTGGAGCTCAAGCTTAAGCTCCCCCTCGCTGGAGCTCAGCTCTCCTCAAATGGCTCTGCAGCGAGCACCACTTGAAACTTTTTGCTTCAATAGCATCACGTAGTGACCTTGCCACTATTCTGGAACAAAAATCCATCAAAATTGCTCTGGCCACTGTGGAGGACTTCTGTATGACAGTATCTGTCATTCCCAAAATTAAGCAAAGAGTGTCTGACTGTAATACTTCATCCTGTAGTACTTCTGGTTGTTTGATGCACAATACGGTTTTCACTTTAATATAGTTGTGATCGGACAGCTTTTTGTAGAAGTTGGCAAATGCATTAATAGGGTTGGAGACTCTCATTATATTGGGACAACACAACTTCTGCCTCAGGGGTGGAGGCTTCAACCTTGGCAATGAAGGGCTTGGAGGGATTTGTCAGAGTCTGGACTGGAGCTTTCTTGAGCAAGGCTTTCTTGAGGGCTTGAAAACATTAAATGGCTTGGGGAAACCAGGACAGAGACTTAGGTTTGTGTTTGACAAGAGGGGGGCTGTTGTTCATTGATGGTAGTCCTGTATTAGCTCCCACCTTGCTCTCATGAATCTGAATTCACGCAGGACTGTTTACTGAAAACATCCTGAAACTCCCCATACACCATAGGTATGTTTGTCTTTTTAGAAGTTTCTGGGCTCTATTAAAAGAATGGATCTGAAGACAGGTGTTGGTCAAGATGGTTTTGGAATGTTTTGCTGACAGACCTTCAAAAGATAACATTTATTCAATTTAATAATGATATTCGAATTCCAGTTCATAGATGGATTATGTTTTTTTTTTTTTTTTTTTTGAGACCTCTAACACCAGAAATTAGATCTCCTCTTAATGCTTTAATGCTTATGTAGCCAATCTGAAGTTGGAACTTGGGTGAATGGTGAGTTACCCAAGCAGTTTGCCTTAAACGGTTTGAATATTTTCTATAGTAACTATAATAACTTGATCATGTATACATTGTTTGAAGTGTTTGTTCTCTGGTTAATGAGAGAAAGTAATAAAGGTTTTGGCTTCACATTATTAAATTATTACTTGTTCTGAGATGAGGGTTAAAAAGGAGAACTGGGGTAATATTTGGACAGAACTCATCGCTGGCATGGCGGGCGAACCAGCAGTTTCACTTTACAAACATATGCCTTGTGGGATTTTTCACAATCTTTGACTACTGACAGGTGATATGAGTCGGTTTGCATGGCTTCTGGTGCAGGCAACACAATCTCACGGCAATTCGTAACTTTTTCATTTAGTGGCTAATTCGTATGAATTTGTACGATCTAATTCGTACAATTTAGTACGATTTGCTTTTCCCCCAATGACGGTTGGGGTTAGGGGTGGGGTTAGGTGCCACGCCTCCTTTTTAAAATCGTATCATTTCGTACGACTGAAATCGTACGAATTCGTACGAATTAGCCACTAAACTGGCAAAACGTAAAATACTTACGTTTTCTTGTGAGATCAGGCTGGTGCAGGAGTTCTAATTTAATTTAAGTGCAATTTAGTACTCATTATAGTACATCACCTTAAACTAAATGAAAATGTGTAATATATCCTTGCCAGATATATGAAATAAATGTTTACATTTAAAAAACATTTGAGATATTTTAGTTTTCATTGAATTTCAAGTAATACAAAATATTTAGTTGTATTGTTTTAGTTTTTGTTAACTGTTACAACCTGGCAAGAAAACAGATGTCATAAAATATTTTAAGAGCTTGTTTCGGGATTGATTGATTGATTGATTGATTGATTGATTGATTGATTGATTGATTGATTGATTGATTGATTGATTGATTGATTGATTGGTTGGTTGGTTGGTTGGTTGGTTGGTTGGTTGGTTGGTTGGTTGGTTGGTTGGTTAGTTGGTTAGTTGGTTGGTTGGTTGGTTGATTGATTGGATTAATTCAGTGCACTTACCATCACCAACAATTTTCAGTTTTGGGTGAACTATCCCTTTATGCATTACAAAATAAAGTGAGTGTTCAATTGAAATCATAATTACTGATATGTGTTATGTGCTCATCTTCTATTGCTCACAGGGACAGATGAGGAGACCATCATTTCCATTCTAGCAAACCGATCTGCAGCCCAACGGCTAGAAATTAAACAAGCCTACTTTGAAAAGTATGATGATGTAAGTCCAATTTCCTACATTTCAGTACTAATTTTACAAACATCTAAGGCCATACATCTCAGAAATAGCAGTAATTTAAATTGTTTTTGCGGATTTATTTCTTTTTTGCCTAAAGCATCTCCACATTTGAGGTCAGTTATAAGAGCAAACTGTAGATCAGTGGTTTCTCAGTTTCACAACATCACATTATATTGATTTAGCTTTATTATTATTGAATTATTATTATTATTGAATAACTGTGTGAAGCATAGGTCTCAAACTCGATTCCTGAAGGGCTGCAGCTCTGCACAGTTTTGCTCCAACCATTATCAAACACAGCTGATCCAACTAATCAAGAGCTGCGTCCCAAATGGCACACTATACACTATGCACTCATGCACTATGTACTTATGCATTTACACACTCAACAGGATAGTATATGTATGTAGTGTCGTCCCAAATGGCACACTAATGTTTTATATATAATGTTTATGTATATGGACGGGAAAATCCGCTTTGCGCCGTGGCGCATGGTCTTAAAGGGTTGAGTTTATTTTCTTAATGAGTTATAGGTGTGTTTTGAGAATAAACCAATTAGAGTCTTATCTCCCATTCCCTTTAAGAGCCAGCTGCGTCGCGCCATAAGCGCATTTGCTATTTACAGAACGTAAAGTAAGTCTAAGTGGAAAAACTGAGCATTTCACTTGCAAACAGTTAACAGTTTTATTAACAGAAAACTTTTAAACAGAGCATCTACTGCGCAAGAATGAGATATAATCGATTTACTTTCATTTCTGCTCTTGAATAAGGAAACCGTTACGCACAGACATCAATTAGCCTATAAATAACTAATTGCGTTTGTTAAGCGCAAATATTAGTTTCAAAACTATTTCTAAATTCAGTTCTAATTTCCAGCAAATGAATAAATGAACAATAATAATGAAGTGTGTTCAAAAACCTGAGTTATATCCTAAAACACATGCTGTGCCCCATATGGTCTAAAACAGGTGGGCAAATCTAAGCTTGTTTTTAATAAAACAAGTATAAATATGGATATAATAAATAATGCTGCTAATAATAATAATATTATACAAAAGCAAATTGTTATGAATGAACTGAAAAAGCCTCCTGAGATGAAGAAGACATAAAACCAGTGATTTTTCATATTTATGTAGGCTAGAAAATAATATGTTTTGTAATATTTTAATCCTTTATATTTATATCCTATATCTATTCTTATTATATCCTATATATATATCTCCTTAATATAAAATTTTTTTCATATGTAAAGATATTTGCCTATTGCTCTCTTGTGCGTATTAAGCAGTGTGTAAGCGAGGCGTAACTCTGCGCTGGAGTTTAGACCGGGTTTGTTTTAGTATAATGAAAAATCTATTTTAGTTTCTCAAAATAGCAACGCGACAGCGGTCCGCCTCAGAACACCTATGGGCGCACATATGAGCGCTAATGCATTTGCTACTTAAACAGCGTAGCAAAACGCCTCAAAATGACTCTTGCGCCAAGCTGAAACTAGCAAAAGACTATTGCGCCACGCCTTGTGCCACATTGCGCCAGGTGTGTGATAGGGCCCTTTATTTTAGTGCCTGAATGAGTGCATCATCCGGGTAATTAAAGTGCACTTCATATTTTTAGAGTTTTCAGTGTGAACACACTACTTACAATATTAATACTACAAAATGGTGTAGAATAGTGCATAAGTATGCGATTTGGGACACAGCTAAGGTGTTCAAGACTACTAGAGACTATTAAGCAGGTGTGAGTTGGAGGTGATTGGAGCTAAACTATGCAGAGCTGAGGCCCTCCAGGTATTGAGTTTTAGACCATTGGTGTAAAGTTTTGAAGCTTTGATGTTTTACTGTGCTCGTAGAAAGCTTAAGAGCACCACTGATTGTCATTGATTATATTCTTTATACTAAGGAAAATGCTAATAATTAATGTATTAACAACATGATAATGCATTTGTAATGGAGGCCAGCTAGTGAAGTGCTATGCAGGTAAACCTCACTGCTCTCACCTCTAAAGGTGCTGTATAGTAACAGTCGTTAGAGGCCATGGTCTTTAGCCTAATTGTTAGAGCAACCGACTCCCATACAAAGAATTGCCGGTTCGATCCCATCTCAGAAAGAGCTGGGTGCATTAGCATCGATGGGTTACATGTGGGGGCTCGTCCGGGATGGAAGTGAGGTTTAGGGGTAAGTGTAACGGATGCCATCTAGCGAAGTGCTATGCAGGTAAACCTCACTCCTCTGAAGGTGCTCTAGCATGAGACACTAGAGGCCAAAGTCTTTAGCCTCCTTGTTAGAGCAACTGAATACTAGAAAAAGAATCAGCAGTTCGATCCCAGGTCAGACCGGGTTGGGTGCAGGAGGACCAGTGGGTTAGACATACATTGCAATGGCAAATGTTTTTATTTACAGTTCACTGAAAGGCCTGCATAGGCTGCATCCAAAAGCACATACTGCACTTTATTAAACTATAGCAGATAAAAAAACAGTATGTGACAAAAGATGCATGTCTGAATAAAATAAATTAAGCAAAAAGTTCTGGGACTGCAAAAGTAGTTCCTCAAAATGACATTCATATTATGTATGAGGTTGTACTTTTTTAGTGGTTCTGAAGTAGTTATTGATTCAAAATAAGTTTCTATTTTTGGCAAAGCCATTGTGGATCACCTCACATCTAAATGAGTCTGTTTTCTTTTGGTTTGTGGTCACATTGTTGGAGGAGTTGGAGGAAGTCTTGAAGAATGAGCTGACAGGAAACTTTGAGAACGCAGTTATAGCCATGCTGGACCCGCCCAACGTCTTCATGGCTAAAGAGCTGAGGAGAGCCATGAAGGGTGCTGGGACAGATGAGGACGTGCTGGTGGAGATCCTCTGCACCAGCACCAATCAGGTCATTTGTCATTTACATCGACAAATTAGAAGTATAGTCACCCAGGGACGGACTGGGACAAAAATTCAGCCCTGGCACTATAGCCACACCATCCCACATTACCATACGTACTGTTTGTTTGACATTCTTGCCAGTTTTTGATTATGTCCGCGTAACCTTTGATTGAGTCGGCCCCTCTCGAAACTATCACCGATTGGGCCAAATGCTTATCATTTACTATTACTATTATTACCTTCTTCAACGTCATCATAATATTCACATGTTGCACGAGATAAAAGCTGCATGTAAAAACAAAACATATAAAAAAAATAATAAAATAAAAAATAAAAATAAAAAACTGACCGGCCCACATTTAAAAAAATGGTTCGGCCCTTCTGGCATTTGCCAGAATTGCCAGATGGCCAGTCCGCCCCTGTAGTCACCTGACGTTCAAGCATTTAGCGTTAATTTCAAAAACAAGTTCTGTTTTATATTAAAATGTGTAGTTTTGAAGTAAAAACACTGAAATAGACTTCTGTTGAAAAATGTACACTCTAAAAAAAATAAAGAAACAAAAGCTGTCACACTTGGGTATTACCTTTTCAAATGGTACATGTTTGTACTTTTAAAGACACAGTGTGTAATTTCTGGTGCTAGGAGGCACATGGTCACTACAAACAAAGATGGGGGCTGCATCCAAAACCGCCTACTACTCAGTAGGTACTGCATTTGAATTTAAACGTGCTACTCGGCCGTTAAAAAAGTACGTTCTATATAGTATGAATGTGAAAAGTATGAATGGAATTCGGAAGCATACATCCGCCATTTTGTCATAGTCACGTGACCTACCTGCGTAAGTTGCGTCGCGTTACTCCCATTCATGAATTCTCTCGCGAGGCATCATGGGATAGTGCAGCGTGCATGGGATGCGCACTCCAGATTCTCGCCGGAAGTAGTAATTCATCTGTGTACTTCTCGCATACTGATTTTCAAATTCTAGGAATTCGGACAAACTACTCGGCTCGCATACTGGTTTAGCCTACTATATAGTATGGAAGTATGCGGTGTCGGATGCAGCCAGAGTTTTATGATGCCATGACTACGTTTGGAATCATGGGAGTTGTCATCTTCGTTACATCCTACAAGACTCCTACATAACCCCTTCTAGACAAGCCATTAGGGTGTAATTAGACGACTGAACAATTGCTGTTGAGAGATGAGTGAGGTACAGCACAAAATAAAAGAACACAAAATTTATAACACTCTTCTATATGTAAGAGATTTTAATAAAATGTGCATTTAAAGTACCATGGGGTACACCTTTGTACTTTTTAGGAATATGTATCTTTTGTACCCAGTGACAAAGTTCTGCATTGTCATTGTTAAAGCATTATAGGGCACAAACAAAACGAATCAGCTCTGAAGAGAATAGAATATGAAAAGTATTGAAAAATAAAAGGGAAAAGACTGTCAATTTTATGACTTTGATGAAGGTAAAATCTACTATTAATGAAAATTTTGCATAAACATTTAAATATGAATACATTTAAAGAGTGTATAGAGACAAACAAAATTGTGTCAAAAATCAGCAAATTAAATATGCGCAAATAGGTTTAACAAAAGTATAACAAAAAAACAGCCTCTGAGTTTATAACAGGTCTGTTTAACAGTTTGCGAGATATTGTTGAAAATTGCTACATGTTTAAATTGTTATATGTTTTTATAGATTGCACTGCTTATAGAATTAGCATAAATCAGTTCATGGTGACAGAAATAACATTTGTTCATTTAAAAAATATTTATTAACATTTTAGTAAATCTTAAATGCAGACGGCTAAATGTGTTTATCCTAATAAGCATCACTTCTGTAATGCATATTTTCAATTTTTTTCATTAACAGGATATTTTGAATTACAAAGAGGCATATCTGCAAGGTAAGCATTTAGATATAAATATGATTTTATAAAGAAATGGAAGTTGATAATTGGTTGATATTATTTTTAATAGCAATAATAATAATACAGCTAATGTATTATCAGAGTCATGTAACATGTTTTAATGATCAGTTCATGAGCGAGATTTGGAGGCTGATATCGAAGATGACACCAGTGGTGAAGTGAGGAATCTGCTGGTTTCTCTCCTACAGGTAATTGAATTATGTAAATTATATAAGAATGATTAATGAACCAACACAAGCTCATTGGAAATATGAGTTTACCTACATTTTTTTGAAATTGCAAAAATGCACTTAAACATACACTCACCGGCCACTTTATTAGATACACCTGTCCAATTGTTCGTTAACGCAAATTTCCAATCAGCCAATCATGGCAGCAACTCAATGCATTTAGGCATTTAGGCATTTAGGCATTTAGGCATTTAGACAATCTGCTGCAGTGCAAACCGAGCCTCAGAATGAGGAAAAACGGTGATTTGAGTGACTTTGAATATGGCATAGTTGTTGGTATTTCACTAAAATTTTTATAAATTTAGTTTTCAGAAACTGCTGATCTACTGTGATTTTCACACACAACCATCTCTAGGCTTTACAGAGAATGGTTTGAAAAAGAGAAAATATCAAGTGAGTGGCAGTTCTGTGGGCGCAAATGCCTTGTTGATGCCAGAGGTCAGAGGAGAATGGCCAGTTTGGTTCGAGCTGATAGAAAGATAACAGTAACTCAAATAACCACTCGTTACAACCGTATGCTAAAGAGCATCTCTGAATGCACAACATGTCCAAGCTTGAAGCAGATGGACTACAGCAGCAGAAGACCACACCAGGTGCCACTCCTGTCATCTACGAACAAGTAACTAAGGCTACAATTCGCACAGGCTCACCAAAATCGGACAATAGAAGATTGAATAAACTGAGCCTGGTCTCGATTTTTGCTGTGACATTCAGGTGGTAGGGTCAGAATTTGGCATCAACGACATGAAAACATGGATCCATACTGTCTAGCATCAACGGTTCTAGCTGCTGGTGGTGGTGTAATGGTGTGGGGGATATTTTCTTGGCACACTTCGGGCCTATTAGCATCATTTGAGCATTGTTTCAACGCCACAGCCTACCTTAGTATTGTTGCTGATGCTGTTCATCCCTTTATGACCACAGTGTACCCATCTGCCGATGGCTACTTCCAGCAGGATAACACGCCATGTCATAAGCGTGAATCCTCTCAGACTGGTTTCTTGAACATTGCAATGAGTTCACTGTACTCAAATGGCCTCCACAGTCACCAGATCTCAATCCAATAGAGCTCCTTTGGAATGTGGTGCAATGGGAGATTCACATCATGGATGTGCAGCTGACAAATCTGCAGCAACTGCGTGATGCTAACCTGATCTTATCTGTGACCTTATCCTTTTTGCACTAATGATATACCTGGAAATATTATCGACAAATAAAGGCTTATATTCATGCCATTCTTTACATAACACACAAAAAAACAAAAAAAAAACAAAACTCAAAACATGTTAGCAATATCTATGATTTGTTATCGAATACCTTTTCCTGTCTATCTCTCTATGGAAAGCTTTTCTGGCTTGGTCAGTTTGCTCGGTAGCTCACTTTGTATGATGTTGTAACTGTGATGCAGAGCGCTTGGGTGTCCAGGTGAAGCACGTTTCCACAAAAAGGATAAAATATCAAATTAAATGGTGGCAGTGCACTATTCCTATTTCACTAACACTATTGGTTGGGTTTAGGTCAGTAGTTTGCTGGATGATCTGTACAACAAGCCCTGCCTCATTCTGGATGTATACAAGTAGGACATGTATCTGAAATGCATAACAAAACGTACCTTAAGTTTCAGATTTGCTAAAATGTAGACAGCGCCCTCTTGTGGGCTTTCATCTCAGAGTGCAACAAAATGTACCTGGAGCAACATGTGTTTTGCATTTCGCACAAATGTAGCCTGAGGCACGTGTTTCCAATGTGCGAGGACCGTAATTAACTGCACTCATAGGTAGAGTATAGAACCTTAATTTAATCTTTTCATATTTTCAGAGGGGTAAGGCATACATTTTTGTATTTTACTCAAAATTTCCTTTACCAATTGATTTAAGCGTCATATCAAACCTTGGTAGCACTTTATTTCGATGATCCGTTTGACTATTAGAGACTGTCTGCTTAATACCTGCTGAAACAGCTCCTTCAACAGACATATAACTGACTATAAGAAACATAGCCAGTACATGTCAACTTACACTAACCCCAACCCTAACCCCAACTGTCTACTTACAATTTAATGAGAATTAGTTGGCATGTAGATGCAATGTGACTTAAAGTCAACAAAAGGACCATCAAAATAAAGCGTGACCCAAACCTTATGTATTTATGCAAAGCTCCATCTATAACCCATTATTTAAATGTTCAAATAGGCTTTTCTTTACCGGCTCACGAATGGTGGAAAATTCTCTTCCTAAGCGATTCAAATGAACAAGGAAAACGTATCAACCGAAAGTGTGTAGTTGTTATTGTCTATTTTATCAATTTACCTTCATCTGCAGGCTGACAGGGATGAGGCTTATGAAGTGGATGAAGCACTGGCAGAACAGGACGCAACGTCATTGATTGAGGTGAGATTTACTCTGGATTTTGCCCCAGAAACGAATAATTCATTATGTGTCATTAAATACTCACCTTCAAATCGTGTGAGACACAGTACAAATTCAGATACTTTAGATGAAATCCAAGAGCTCTCTAATCCTTCATAGACAGCAATGGTCGTGAGACATTCAGTCCAGAAAATAAAATAAAAACATTTCAGTAGTTAAACTGTAATGATATGAGGCTACAAGAACACCAAAAAAAAATTAAAAACCAGCTTGCATGTTGTGTTGCTAACTCTAATGGCAATGTGTCATACTGCTCATAGTAAATGCAAACAAAGTCATAATTACACACGTTTTTGATGCAGAGAAGTGTTCATGGGGATTAGATTACAGTTTAACTAAAGTCACATGGAATTTTTTCCCATTATTTTCTAATATTTAATAAATAGAATATAATAATAAATAGTATGAAGTAGTAAAAGTATAATTACATTAAGCATGTTTAGTCACAAAGAATTACATTTCATCCCTACCCAAACATAATAGTTTTAATAACTCATTTCTGAGCACCATGACGCACCATGCATTTTAGAATTCTAAACATAGATTTAAATCAGGGCATGCACACCGGTGCTGGAAGTCGGCGCCTATTCGTGGCGCCCAGCTATGACTCAGGACACTGTTCATATGTCTGCCGTGCCACGGAGTGCCATATGAATAGTTTCATTTTAAATAACATGTCAATGTGCACCTCTGGTGTGTGGCCATCTTTAGATTTATTATTATTAACAATTTGTTTCATTTTTAAATTTGATACTGCCGGCTTTAATGGTAAACTCTAGTTTCTCTCAGTAATTCTTTTTTATATAAATTACAGAGATCAATGGCCCTTGAGGTCAAAAAGTAAATCATTAAATTAAACGTGTAGAATTGTGTAAATATTCACAGAAAAACAATAAAAAGGTACAAAATTTGCAAAAACTCACCACAAAATTAGTCAAATTTCTTCATTATTCCATTTCCCTCACCAAATGATTATATATATATATATATATATATATATATATATATATATATATATATATATATATATATAATGCAGAATAAACATTTTAACCAAAAATATGTATTTATTTTGTTTAATATGTACAATAATATGTATAGTTTCAAAAATAATTTTGGCACAATACCCCCAAAATAGTTCTCCTCTTCATCTCTTTGCCAATAATCACTTACTACAAGTGGAAAAGTCAAACCCACAAAATTGTGAATATTAAGCATAAAGTTGTTGTTGTTGTTAATGTGGTTTGATTTCACAGTCATTTCATTTTGATGCAACACCATTCAGCACGAATAAAAAAACAGTTAATAACAGGAATGCATTAATTCATTGTTAATCATAAGTAAAATAAACATTACAGAGAAACATGGTTTTGTGGAGGTTAAAAATATTATAATGTAAATAATTAGTAATATTTAAGAATGTGAATGTGCAAACACAATTAGTATTGTACAGTATTCATTAAATGACAACCCTTTGAGGTGGTGCTAAAGGAAGCAATGTCATTTCACTTAATTCAACTCCTCAGTCCACGCTTCTTTTCCTTGCAACCTTCTTTGAATCCTGAAGTAGTCGAGCTGAGACATGAAGATGGAAAGCGAGGACAGGAAACACGGATGTACAAATAAGAATTGAGCAGCACCCTTTAAGTTTCCAGAGCTCCTCTATGAGACTTGAGGCAGGTGGCACGCACAGGTGACAGTCGTTAGCACTAACACCACTGGCCTCGTTCCACTCTCACGGTTCTCTGCCCCACCCCACTCGCTACAGTCCTGCAATGGCTAGTTTTTGGTTTATATCTTTTTTAAACAGACCTGACCATCACCGTTATTATGCTAATTAAAAGAATCAGTACCTGTTGTTATTTTTCTTCAGGCAGGTGAAGGCCGCTTTGGCACAGACGAGTCCACTTTCACCTACATCCTCACTCACAGGAACTACCTACAGCTTCAGGCCACCTTCAAGATATATGAAACCGTATGCTATACACCAACTACACCCACTGCTGCTTTACAAGAGCCGTTTGAGGCATTCTGTTTGAGTGTCTGGTTTCCCTTTTGTTGTCTTCGCATAGCTCTCTGGAACAGATATTCTGGATGCTATAGACAGTGAGGCTACAGGAACATTGAAGGACTGTTACGTTACACTGGGTAACTATAATAATCCAACCCATTCGCCTACAAAAAATCAAAGGCCTTTTGGAAATGTTGTTTTTTAGAGTTAAAGAGTCAAATTGCAGTTCACAGCAACAGATCTCTTTGTTAATCGGTCGACTTTTATGCTTGCCGCACACATTATACTGTGCTTTGTTTTTGTTTCATACAGTACGATGTGCTAAAAACCCACAGCTGTATTTTGCCCGTCGTCTGAACGCTGCAATGAAAGGAGCTGGGACAGATGAAGAGACACTCATACGTATCATTGTGGGTCGCTCTGAGGTACAGTATAGGTTATTAGCTCTCCTGTTAAATGTTCATTGTTTTCCCAGGAGACATTTTTTTCAACAATAGTTTTTTTTAAATAGTTATTTTAATAATGCGTTTCTAATAGTTAATGTCTATAACAGTAGATAACATTAAACAGTATTTTACTATAATATTTAAACAATTGTTCACTATTTTCTATTAATTATCTTGCAACAAGCTATTATTAAGCTCAAAGTGCAAATTAAAAGCTTAACTAGGTTAATTATGTTAACTAGGTTTAAGCAAGTCTTTGGACAACCGTGATTTGTTAGGTAGCCAATCTAATAATATTGACCTTAGCAGTTAGCATATTCCAGCCTAACTAAAAGAAACAAGTAATAATAATAAATATAAACTGTAAAATAAATAAATGAATATATACTTTATATCAAATTTAACTGTATAGCTAACTCATATCTTTCTATGCAATAATATAAAATAATGAGCTATTTTTTTCTACTGGCTTTTTTTCTTGAAGTGAGACTAGTGCCATCTGGAGGCATTAAATGTAAAACCTTGTAACGCAGTTTAACAACCTAATAAACTATAAGCTTCTTATAATTTTATAGAGAGGCTTTTAGATTTACATTGTTTATTTTAACTTATTTATGAACCTTTACATCTGAATCATGCCCATGATTTGTGTGTACATATAGGTAATACGACAAATATATCAGCCTATTCTGGTGAATCAAAAATTTGTGAAACTTCAAATTAAATTTAATTTACTGTCATTTTGATTAAAGTGGCTCAGACCGTTAATATGCTTTGCTTTTTATCTAAGCATCTATCTACAACTACGAGCAGCAGTCCCAAAAGTAACATTTTAGATTTATTGCAATTTGTCATTTGTTAATTTATAAATATATCCAGTGTCACTCTGTGATAAAAATTAATTAATGACTGTGATTAGTATTAAAATAAACATTTTGTCTAAACGCTATTTTTCATGCCCCATAACTCTGAACAAAGTGTAAAAACATGAAATAGAGCAAACACAAACCTCAAACTAAATATATATATATAATATAAATATATATACACATACACACATACAGTTAAAGTCAGAATTATTAGTCCCCCTGAATTATTCACTCCCCTGTTTATTTTTTTCCCCAATTTCTGTTTAATGGAGAGAAGTTTTTTTTTTTTTTTCCACAATTTCTAAACACAATAGTTTTAATAACTCATTTCTAATAACCGATTTATTTTATCTTTGCCATGATGACAGTAAATAATATTTTACTACATATTTTAAGACACTTCTATGCAGCTTAAAGTGACATTTAAAGGCGTAACTAGGTTAATTAGGTTAACTTGGCAGGTTAGAGTAATTAGGCAAGTTATTGTATAACGATGGTTTGTTCTGTAGAACATTGATAGAAAATAAAGCTTAAAGGGGCTAATAATTTTGACCTTAAAATAGTGTTTAAAAAATTAAAAACTGCTTTTATTCTAGCCGAAACAAAACAAATAAGACTTTTTCCAGAAGAAAAAATATTATCAGACATACTGTGAATAATAATTCTGACTTCAACTGTGTATATACTGTATATATATACACACACACACACACACACACACACACACATACATATATACATACACACACATACACACACACACACACACACACACACACATATATATATATATATATATATATATATATATATATATATATATATATGTATATATGTATATATGTATATATGTATATATATATATATATATATATCAGGGGTATAACGGACATTTTAAAAGTGGGGGAGACAGCTGAATGAGATCAAAAATTTTACGTTCATTTTATTATTAATCACCTATATCCAAATGGTCTGTCTCTAAAAGTGAGGAGGACATATCCTCCCATCCTCCCGGTTGTGACGCCCCTGATTTATATATCTTAACTTTTTTTTTTTTTTTACTAAAAAAAGTATGTCTTTTACACATGCTCTGCTCTGTGTTGCATATTTTTTATAACAGTATTTACAAATCAGCACAAATGGTTTTTATAGAAATTAAAAAAGAAAAATGTGTAAAATTTACATTATTTTAACATTCACTCTAAAAAAATACTAAGTTATTTCATGTAATATGGACTAAATCAACTTCTGGGTAAGATATTTTAAAATAAATAAACATGTTACAGATTAAAATCCTAAAGAATATAAAATGAGAAATTACAGTGCCCGTAGCTTCTAATTTTAAGCCATTCAGCAGATCTCCATGTCTGGCGAGAGCATTTTTAGCTTAGCATAAATGATTAAATCAGATTAGACCATTAGCATATCCCTAAAAAAACATTTTGATAATATTTGCATTTTAAGCATTAGACTCTTTTGTAGTTATTTATGGACATTTACTAGCTAAATATTGTCCTATGAATGCCATGCATCAATTGAAAGGTTATTCGTTCAGCTTTTATTATTTAGAAATATCAGTTTCGAATAATGACTACATTTAATGATTAATGAATAATGATTAATAATAATGATCTCACTATATATTACTCTTTAAATGGGTTTTGCTTCTACATTATACTTCATCTGTTTACATAAGGACCCATTATGGCATAACAGTTCACAATTACAGTCCAAAATCAGTCAGAACTGCACATGTATCTGGGTACTACAAACTATTGATGCATAGTTTTTCTGTGAACCCCCCACATAAAAAAAGTTAATGCCCTCCACTTGGGGAAGCTGTCTACAAATACATGTAAATATATAAAGGAAGAAAACAACTGACTTCTGTGTTCACTTGTAGGTGGATCTGGAGACCATCAAGGACATGTACTTGGAGAAATATGACGTAACCCTAAAGGATGCCCTGAGTTCAGAGTGTGGTGGAGATTTCAAGCGCCTGCTAATAGAAATACTTCACTAGATTACCGTCAGGGGGAGCCGATCGCTAACCAGACTGGTGAAAGCTTTCAACACTGCCTATGAATATACACATACAATCACCTCTAATGGTTTTAATGTACCCACTACACTTTTATCAGTCTAAACTGTTTTTGAAGCTAAAACAACTTCTGTTTTACTCACTAAACATAATTTATTAGTGACAAATCATAATTCATTCCTTTATTGGACAATTTATTTAAAAAAAATAAATAACTTATTTAACACTTTATTAATGAGGAATTTGTGATTTCTGACAACTGCAAACCAAACATGTGGATGTTTGGCTTATGACTGTAGTGCTAATCTGGTAGCAGTTACATGCTAATGTTTAAATGGCTAGCTTCAAAGCTAAGAAAGCTAACTGGGCGTTTTTTCTTAGATTTGGTGGTGACTGTTAATATCATAAAGCAGTGCTGTGAATCTTTATTGCAAAGTTTCTGAAATATATCTGATTTTAAGTATATCAAATAGACTATGGCTAGAGGAAATTGATAAAGATATTGAAGTATCATTGATATTACATTAGGTTTTAAATATTAGAGACTGCCAGACAACTGTGTACGTTTTAAATAAAGCATGCTGAATTAGACTGAACACTCATGTTTTGGGTCCTTTTTTCTGTCTCACACTTACACACGTATGCACAGGGATGGGCAGTATTTATAATTCATGTATTTCAAATAAAAATTGTAATGTGTAGGGTTGTTGAAAATGGCTCAATATTACATACTTTAGAGTCTTGTGTTTTTGAATTTTTAAAATCCTGTAAAATACCTTGTAAGAAGTCTACATGATGACGTTCTAAAAATGCAAACTCTGAAGATTGGTTCTTTCTCGGTTATTTGCTTTGGGTTGAGATGAAAACAGTTGATTATTAGTTGATTTGATCGATTAATTGACCAGAAAATGTATTAATATCAAGGAAGTCAATCAATGCTTGGAATATGGAAGAAAAGTTTGCATCACATGTAAAGAAAGTAACAGATAAATGGCAGGAGTAGATTTAGGAACAAGTTAACCATTGAACCACTGAAAATAGGGTCACACTTTACAATAAGGTTCATTAGTTAATGTTAATTAATGCATTTACTAACATAAACAAACAACGAACAATACATTTACTACTGTATTTGTTCATGTTAGTTAACGTTAGTTAATGAAAATACAGTAGTTCATTGTTAGTTTGTTAACTCATAGTGCATTAACTAATGTTAACAAGCATGGACTTGGATGTTACTAATGCATCAGTAAATGTTCAATTGTAATTAATAAATGCTGTACATGTGTTGTTCATGATTAGTTCATGTTAGTAAATGCATTAACTAATGAATCTTATTGTAAAGTGTTACCGAAAATAGCATACTGCACAATGCTAACACCAGTCATACAGTCTCAAAATAGGAACAAAACCATTTTTTTTAAATGTCTGATGGTAAATCATACTAAACGTTTACTATTTTACATCAGTTAGGATTTCCTAATGATTTACATTTGCTAAATGCCAACTTTACAAACATTTCCTTGGTATTTTTTAGCTTTGCTTTTAAACAGTATAAATTTGGTCAAATGTTTTGGGTTTCCTTCCACAAGCTTCTGACAACAGTTTGAAGGAATTTTGGCCCATTCCTCCTGACAGAATTGGTGTTACTGAGTCAGATTTGTTGGCTGTCTTGCTAGCACAAGCTTTTTCAACTCTGCCCACAAATTTTCAATAGGATTGAGATCAGGGCTTTGTGATGGCCACTCCAAAACATTCACTCCTTAAATCACATTTAAAATAATTATCCTTAAGCCTGGTTTATACTTCTGCGTCAAGTGACCGGCGTAACCCACGCGCGTAGCTGTGCATTTATACTTCTGCGCGCTGTCTTTGTTGGTCTGCATTAACACTTCCAAAACGCTATTTGGCAGTGAGGTTTAAATGTTCCTCTGTGTCGAGTTTCTTCGCTGCTGTTTTGTTTTCCTGAACACTTCCGGGATGTACAAGTGGCTCAAACTAGCTCATTTTGAGGTAGGAACCGGCGGACGTGCAACAACTTTAACTATGAGGTAAACACAAAACAAAACTTTCCATCCGAGCTCCTTCACGGGACTCCACACTTGTAAACAATCGCTCCATCAGGCTCGCACCATTCACGCGGCTCTCGGTCCCACCTAGATTTGTCAGCGATACCAAGCTGACCAATCACAGAGCTTGCGCTACGCGTCGTTGCGACGTGTAGTTACATTTTTTGAGAGGTGCACGTCAGCGACGCTGACGGCCACGGCAAAGGGCTATGCGTCAGCGCCGTAGCATACGCCAGTGTTTGACGCAGAAGTATAAATCAGCCTTTAGGGTCATGGTCTGTTTGGAAGACCCATTTGTGGCCAAGTTTTAATTTCCTGGCTGATGTCTTGAGATGTTGCTTCAGTATTTCTACATAATGATTTTTCTTCATGATGTCATCTACGCTCCGGTCCAAACAAGAAAAGGATCATCCAGACTGTTACCAGCAACGTCCAAAAGCCAGCTCTGTCATGATATGTGGTTGTGTCAGTGCCCTTGTCAAAGGTAACTTGCACTTCTGGGATGGTACTATTAATGCTGAAAAGTACAGAGATTTTGGAGCACAATATGCTGCCCTCTTTTCCAGGGACACCCATGCATATTTCAAAAAGACAATGCAAGACACATTCTGCACGCATTACAAAGTCCTGGCTGCAGAAAAAGGGGATAGAGGTACTTTACTGGCCTGTCTACAGTCCTGACCTGTCTCCAATAGAGAACGTGTGTTGCATTCTAAAGCACATAATCTGACTACAAAGACCCCATACTTTTGCCCACCTTAAGACTTGTTTGCAGGAAGAATGGGACAAAGTCACACCTGAAACACTTCATCACTTGGTGTCTTCAGGCCCCTAAACATATTTAAGTCTTGTGAAAAGGAATGGCACCATTACAGACTGGTAAATGCTTAACTGTACCAACTTTTTTTTTAATGTGTAGCAAGAACCAAAATTGAAATATGTTTATTTTGAAAAATAACAAAACAATAAATATCATGAGGAACATATTAAATAATGTGCTGTTGTATTATCTGCAATGAAACACAAGTCGAAGTAAATTCAGAAATCACTACTTTCTTTTTTTATTTGTGTTTTATCTACTGTCTCAACTTTTTCTGATTTGCGGTTGTACATCCAAATATAAAAGTCAGTGGTTACCGGTTTCCAACATTGTTCATAATATCTGTTTTGTGTGTGTGTGTGTGTGTGTGTGTGTGTTCAACAGCACCACTAAAGGTTTGGAAGATGAGTAAATGGTGAGTAAATACATTTTCTTGGGTGAACTAACCCTTTAAATCAAATGTTAAACATTTTACTCCTCATTCATTTCCATCTGTGTGAAATTTTAAAGGGGGTTGTGTGGTTAGAGGAGTCTGGAGGACTGACCTGACCCTGTTAAAGTAGCAATAATTCAGTGTGTTTCACGTTGGCCCTTTGAAGAGTTCAGACTATCACACTCTTCTCCCTATGGAATAACTTTAGATCAACGTCATCTTCTGCTCCCAGTAAAGATTTTAATATAAACCAAATGTCTTTAAAAAAAACACAACCCTGTCTTCATGCTTATGTAGATTATAAACCTACTTTCTGTCCTGGTTTGGCTTCAGGATATGGTTTCTGTTACCGACTTTTCATAGAAAAAAAAAAGAAAAAGAAAAAGAAGAAACAGAGGAAGTATTTGGTTTGGTGTAATTGACATTGTTTATGATCAATGAATGTCATATTTTCTGCTTTAAGAAGCAATACACATACATAATTGATGCCAGAGGGCTACTTTTATTCTGTTTTATACAAAATCGGCATAACAAAGTGTAATAAAAAGAAAAAAAAATCAAAGCCATCTGGTTCTAGGTTTCACAGACAGCTGCGTTTAATTCCCACTACCAAAAGAAAATGTTTACTACCTTCTTCTGCTTATGTTGTGCAAGGTTTGACATTTGAAACTAAAGGATTGTCTTGAAGTTACCAAAATAGAAATAAGAACTAAATAGAAGTAGATACACAGTTGAAGTCAGAATTTATTAGCCCCCCTGAATTTTTAGCCCCCGTTTATTGTTTTCCCCAATTTCTGTTTAACGGAGAGAACATTTTAAACATAGTAGTTTTAATAACTCATCTCTAATAACTGATTTATTTTATCTTTCAATGATGACAGTAAATAATATTTTACTAGATATTTTTCAAGACATTTCTATACAGCTTAAAGTGAAATTTAAAGGCTTAACTAGGTTAATCAGGGTAACTAGGCAGGTTAGGGTATAATTAGGCAAGTTATTGCATAACAATGGTTTATTCTGTAGACTGCCAAAAAAATACAGCTTAAATTTTGACCTTAAAATGTTTTTTAAAAAATAAAAAAATGCTTTTATTCTAGCTGAAGTAAAACAAATAAGACTTTCTCCAGAAAATAAAATATTATCAGACATACTGTGCAAATTTCCTTGCTCTATTAAACATCATATGTGAAATATTTAAAAAGTGAAAGAAAAATTCAATTATTCTGACTTCTCTTGTAGATATTTTCTATATTTTCTAGAATATACCTGTAAATAAGAATTTAATCCTGGAAAGACACGATAGAGGGCTATATTTATAAATCACATTTCTTTAAAATACTTTTATAAAGAGTTTTGCTCAAAATAAAGAAATAAATAAACATGGCTACCACACAGTTTTATTTTTAAATGCAAGGATGATACAACACATGCTTCACCATGCTTAAAATATCTTTCAAAATTTAATGAAATAAAAAGAAGGATGACACATTTGTTGAAAGTGCAAATACAACAATAAAAGTAAAGTTTGTAGACAAACTTTATGGTTGCTTGAGAGAGCCTAGCCTGACAGTTCGATCATTCATTCATTTTCTTTTTGGTTTAGTCCCTTTATTAATCTGGGGCTGCCACAGCGGAATGAACTGCCAACTTTTCCAGCATGTGTTTTACGCATCGGATGCTCTTCCAGCTGCTACCTAACACTGGGAAACACCCATACACTCTTGTATTCACACACATACAGTACACTACGGCCAAACTGAAGCACTCGGAGGAAACCCACACAAACACGGAGAGAACATGCAAACTCGACACAGAAATGCCAACTGACCCAGCTGGGTCTTAAACCAGCGCCCTACTTGCTGTGTGGCAACCATGCTACCCACTGCACCACTGTGATGCCTGTGGAAAAGTTTAAAGTAGTTATAAAGTTTAAATAATTGAAGTCGTTTTTAAGAAGTTTGAAACAGTTGGCAGAGATATTGCTAGGCGGTTGTTAAAGCATTGGTAGGGTTTTTTGAGAGGTTGCTAAGGTGTTTCTAGGCAGTTGCTAAGGTGTTCTGACTGGTTGCTGAGGCATTGCTAGGCACCCACATAGCAAAATTTCTCTGGCCCAGCTCTGGCCCACACAATCAGGTTTTGCTTGGCCCACATGCCGCAGTGAATTACGGTACATGACTGCACCAAATCTGGCTTCCAGACAAGGGCCAAACACGGACCATATCTGGGCCAAGTCTCAGCCAAGTTAATAACTCATAACTGGGCCTGAACTGGGCCAGATAGGTTGGTGTGTCACGATTACAATGAAATTGATAAACCCATGGAGTGATGCGCTTTAGGCACACTATGGGCACGCTTTTTCTCAGTGACCTGATTGGTAGAATTTTTTTTCTTTACTCAAAAATGATTTTAGCGTATTTTAAATGTGGGTCAAGACTGGCCAAACTCACATGGCCCACTTAACAAATTTTTAAATCTGGGCCAAATACTACGTGTTTCATCTGGCCCAAATCTTGTGTGCCGCCTTAAAGACGGTGCCACCTCTGCCAAACCCGGGCCATGTTTGGCCCACATGCTGTATGCCAGTGCCGGATGAATGCCTGCTGTGCCAGCTTTATGCCAAATCTGGGCCAGAATTCTTTGCTACGAGGGCAGTTGCTAGAGTGTTCTGAGTGGTTGCTAAGGCGTTGCTAGGGTGTTCTGAGTGTTTGCTAGGCAGGCGTTAAGGCATTGCTAGGATGTTCTAGGTGTTAAAGTGGTTGCTAGGGTGTTTTGAGTGGTTACTAAGATAAGTTGCTACGATGTTTTATGTGGTTGCTAAGGTGTTGCTGGGCATGTTTCTTGTATAAACTAGCCTGTTATTAGCATGATGCTAGCATGTTTTTGTATAAACTAGCATGTTGTTAGCATGATTTTAGTATGAATAGTATGTTGTTATAATGTTTGTTAGTATGTTTCTATATGAATTAGTATGTCGTTAGTATGTTTCTAGTATGGACTAGTATATTGCTAGTATGAATTGGTATGTTGTTATATGTTCAATGTAAAGTCAGTGGCACTTTTTCTTTACAATGAAAGTCATTGAGACAGTTGCTGGGGTGTCAAAAATCGGTTGCTAAGGTGTGGCTAGTAAGTTGAAAGGTCATCAGGGATTGGCAGATTGGTAGTTAAATGAGCCCAACCTTAAGTCTGTATGACAGTCTGGTGCAAAGTTATAAGGTCACAAAGTTTGGTCCAATGTTAATACCTGCCAACATTTGGTTTATAAAATCCGGGAAACCGGGGGGTTGTTGCGGTCGAAGGGGGGGGGGTTGGTTGGTGCAGAGCGTTGTGCTGCGTGCGAACTGAAGAGTGGGGAGCGGGTGTATGAAGATGGATGCACCTTGGGTTTGGTGTGCATGGGGACTGTACCAAAATGCTGGGAGACAGAAAAAAAAACGGGAGATGGGTCTGAAATACGAGAGACTTGCGGGAAAAACAGTGTTGACAGGTATGAGTTAATGGGACTTTTCAGAATTTTCTTGGCCAGTTTTTGGAAAACCGTAAGTCGGATCAGATGGAAAAGATATAGCACCTCGAGTCAGACAAGTTTGGAGGTTTAGAGTTTGGTTTATAAAGCTTGAATGGTTTAGAAGGAGATGCATATAGAAATTGGTCTCAAAAGAAGACGGAAGAAGGATAAGTTTATGTAGTATAACAGTATGTTGGCTTTCTCAAGCCACCATAATGAAAGGAAAATGTTATACAAAACTTATGGAATCAAAACATACAACAGTCACATTAAAATGTGTAAATAATCATAAAAAAGTCAAATTTTGTTAACTTTTTTCCATTTAAAAATGCATAATAATCTACTCTAAAGCAATTTATTGTTTTGGCTGTAAAAGTTCATTAATCCTATTTATTAACTAATTAATCCCGAAATAAAACATAACAAAAAAAAAACAGGCTTAATTCATAAAGTACACAGATCTGCATGCTAACTGAATCATGCTAAGATCATGCAGCAGCCCATAGGATAGAAATGCTACTTCCGGCATCATAGGCAATTTGATTAATGCGCCCCCTCACACAATCCACTGTAGCAAAGATTACAGTGCCATTAAGCACCTGAAACGATACCCTCAGTCCCACACTTGCCCACAAACTTCCTTCTGGCATTTGCCCACCGATTTGTTGAGCTACAGGAGCTGGTTGAACCCCCTGAGACCCGTTCTGCTGAAGCAAGGTGAGTTTAATTAAACTGCAAGAATGGATAAGCCGGAGATCTAAGGCCACGCTAGCTGTCCCAGCTTCCCGAAAGATGAAGTCTCTGTGATCTTTGGTTCCAGCAAGTGCGACCTGTTTAACTGATGTAGTCGTCTGATGGAAGAACAAGGCCTTATTCCTAACTGCACCTGTAGGAAGACCTTTCCTCGACACAGAAGCCGACAAGGCTGTGGACATCGAAGAAGGGATCCAAAGAAGACTGAGAATGCTAATCCCAGAGTCATCGCCGAAGTAGCGAACGTTGCACTGTGTAGGCGCGAGGATCTCGAAGGTGAGCATATCTCCAGAATCCACAGTGGTGGCAGCTGACAGAGATATGGATGTGTCTCTGTAGTGAACGCCAGGCTTGAATGCACGAGTCAGCTCAGCACTGCTCCCGTTGCGGTTCAGGTATGCAAGTAAGTAGAAACCCTCTGAGATGCAGGCTTGACCCATGGAGTACAATGCTTGCTGAAGGACAAACTTCACAGTGCCACTTTCCCTGAAGCGGACACCACGATTGTCATGAGTCAGGCTGACCACATAGGGGTCAGAGATGGATGACGTCCGGAAGGCAGGACGGTAGTTGGTGTGGTAATGTGCAGAGGCAACGGCCTGGGCAGTCATAGCCACTGCACCCGTGTCATGGGACAACCAGAGCAGACTGAAAGGTGACAATAGGCTGCCCTGCAGGTGGACGTCATCATTGTTTTGGCTACACTGGTTGGTGGCACTCTTGAGTGAAAGGTAAAGTATGTGTCCCGGCTCCACGGCCGTGGCTCCACTCACACTGGCACTTTGGAGAGACCTGGTGTCCCGCTGCTCCAAACGCATACCACTCAAATCCCGACCTCCATCTTCACTGGCATTCAATCGTAAACACGCTTGAACAAAGCTGCGGCAGCCATGTTTTAAAGCAAGGTTATGGTCAACCCAAACAAGACCATGCTGGTATAGGACTATCCAACCATCCGTGCAGGAAAGAAGGCGTCCATCGCTGTTGCCACGGATGTGAAGTTGCTTATCAGTAAGCTCACTACCCTTAGGAAGGTCGACACTTCCTGACCAGGACAGAGAGAGTTTGCTTTCGGATGGGTTGGCACACACTGCATCACTCACCGCTGAGCATGGGGATATCATTGGCTGAGAATCACATTCTGTACAAGCTTGACACTCCTCCATCTCAGAGTTGTAAAAATAAGAGTGGCCACAAATCCCAGCAGCTGCTAGTCTCTCCGACATGTCGGAGCATCGAAACCCTCCTAAAACAATGAACAATGCTTAATTTCTTGGAAAGTAAATCTGGTAAAATTCTTGAGAAGTCTGGAGGCCAACTTACCTGGAGTGTTGAGGCACTGGTTGTGTTCTTTACAAAGGTTTGGTATCTCTAGGCATTCGTCTCTGTCCTGTTGGACAATTATAATTGTTATCATGTATCTGTTAAAATATTAGTTCACCCCAACAAAATCATATCAATTACTAACCCTCATGCTGTATTAACCCCCCAAGACCTTTGGAACACAAGTTAGGACATTTTATATGAAATTCAAGAGCTCCCTCGTCCTCTAGAAGGACTAGAAAGGTAGCAAACTACATCATCACCATAACAGACAATTTGTTTTTAGTGGTTCGATCAGAATATTATCAAGCTATGACTTTTGATGGCATATTGTCTTCTGCTTTAAGGATGTTTGCTGGTATTTCTCTGGGACCATTGCTGTCTATACAGAATGACGGCGCTCTCAGATTTAATCTGATGAATCTTCAATTGTTTTCTGAAGACGAACAAAGGTCTCGAGTGTTTGTTATAACATGATGGTGAGTTATTACTAACTTTTTTAACATTTTGGGTGAGCTAACACTTTAATATGACAAACTCTGTTTACACTTGCTATAGAGTGGAGGAACTATGACGTCAATTTGTATGCAAAAACCCGGAAGCGAGTAAGCATTTTAGCAGTTCCGGTTCCCTCGTCCCAAAGTCAATGGGTTTTTTCAATGGGGTTTCAGTAAAATCACTTAAATAAGGTTTGTGGCTAACAAACTCAAAATACTTTCACGTTTTGTTCTACGACATAAAACACATCAGTTACAGCACACTCTTGAATTTTTAAATTGGTTATACTTCTTTAAAAAGACGGTTGCTATCAAGTTGCTAATTAGGACTACAGGCGGTGTCGGAGACATTATACGTCATAGAGTTGATCTGGTCTGGAGCGCAGCTCACTTGTGATGGGCATTTGGATTTGTCTGTTATTTAGGTATTTTCATGAATAGTATTTCATAGTTTGTAGTATATTTCTAATTAGAATTGGAATTCAGATTGTGTGCAGACAATTCCTTCACTTGTAAAGGCTGTCGAGATTAATTTGTTGATCTTTTATTTTAATAAACAATATTATGAAGATACTGCTTACTAGTGCAGCCTGTCTCTTTCCTGCTCTCAGTAATGCAAACGTATGAATAAATATGTAAAAATACATGCATGTCGGGTTTTTCTTCTTCATCTGAACACATTTAACTCGGTCATAACAGCAATATTTACACTTCGTAAAATGTACAGCATATGTGACTGTATGGGCTGCTTTTCAGTGTATTTCGTGACAAAAAAGGAATATTGAATGTTGCTCTGTGTCCATGATGGAACTTGCAGGCATTTGATAGACTTGTCCCTCACGCCTCATTTCTGTCGTCTGTTAAGGTAAGCAGGCTATATGCACGCGAGTGATACACTTATTTAAATATGTCTTATGATAATACTATGTAGGCAGATTTATACAAACAGTTTTCAAACTTTTAGAACAACCGTAAAGCAAAACAGATGTATTTCCCACGTAAAAACGATCCAAAAGGCACATAGGTCTGTGTTTTTGCGTATTTATTTTTTTATAATATATACCATGGATTATAATGTTATAAACATAGAGATTAACTCTTTGTCATGGACATTATTTCTAAAAAATAAGCTTGAAAAGTTGCCTGTAGCAGGGTGGTGCTGACGTCACAGGCGAGCGCTCCGAGAGCAGTGTAGTGCGTTTGTAGCCTAATGTTAGCTTTTCAGTTCTTGCGTTTGTATTTAAAATCCAAAAGTGCTTAAAGTTGTATTTTCGTGTGAGGATTATCCGGCTGGACAAAACGTGTAAGTGTCATGAACAGTGTTTGAACACAGAGCTTATTATTTGCAATCTTTGAAAAGCCTATGGGAAAATTCCCACGAGGGAACCAGTTTTATGCTAGCAGCCGATTAGCCTACAAAGTGACTTCATAGTTCCTCCACTCTATTAAGAGGCATTCTTAAAATGGTCACCACTAAATACACTTGCCTAAATAGGGTAAAAAATGTTTGTGCTTGTTCACTTCCATAATTGCTGAAATGCTGAAAAGCATTCAAACTGCCATTAAAGACCACGTCTTGAACAAGCATGTAATTGTTATAAAAGGTGTCGTGAGGAAGTACACCAAAACAAGGTATGTTACTTTGTTGCACTGAGCCTAAAGACACAGATGCAAGCAAAATCATAGTTGCTATGCAAATCCCCTTCATTTCCTTGCTCTTTCCGCTCAACTAATACTAGGGTTGCTTTCACACCTGTGTATCGATTAATTTGTTCCGAAACAGGGATTAAAATAGTTACAGTGTTGCTCTTTGTTCTTGGTGTGGTTCGCTTTCACACAGCAAAGTTTCTAAACGGACCAAACGAGCTAAACCGAGTCACGTGCGAGTAAACTCTCCTCACATTGGTCAGAGTGTCACGGTCTATTTTGCAGAGTCCCGCTCAGCTGCCATGCATCCTTATTTTAATTTATGAGGATGAGCAATAATACATTATAAGCGAAAAGCTGCGCTTTCATTTTGATTGGTGACACCCTCAGACGTTGTCTCCAAATATAAATCAGAACCCTACTAAAAAAAACAGCTTAAACCAGCCTAGGTTGGTTGGCTGGTTTAAGCTGGTCGACCAGGCTGGTTTTAGAGGGGTTTTGGCCATTTCCAGCCTGGTCTTAGCTGGTCAGGCTGGGAGATGACCAGCTAACACCAGCTTAACCAGCCTAGCCAGGCTGGGAGCCCAGCCCAAACCAGCTATGTCCAGCTTAAACCAGGCTGGTCAAGCTGGTTTTAGCTGGATTTGGCAGGTCATTTTCCAGCCTGACCAGCTAAGACCAGGCTGGAAATGACTGGAAACCAGCCTGGAAATGGCCAAAACCCCTCTAAAACCAGCCTGGTCGACCAGCTTAAACCAGTCAACCAGCCTAGGCTGGTTTAAGCTTGATTTTCAGCAGGGAAGTAAGACTTTCTCATAAAGAGCAGTTGGCTTATGCATTATAGGCTTTACATTATAGAGAGAAATAACAGTGTGCAAGAGTCCAGTTCGGTCAATTTTCCTAACGGATAAACAGCTCTCGGTAATAGTTAACATGCTTTCACTTTCATATTTTTTTCGTATGATCTCTTCATATAGCCATATACATGCCTATGACATATCCATGATACACTGTGTATAGCCAGGCTCGGATCACAACAACTGGCTTTCTCACAACAATCGATCCGCTCCAGAGTTCATTTCAATCGAGCCGAGACCACCTCATTTAGGCGATCTCGGACCGTTTGATTTGGCGCGGATCCGAGCGTGATTGCTGGATTCACATATGCCAAACAAACCGCGCTAACTGGGCAAACGAGACAGGTTCTGAAACAAAAGTCTAGGTGTGAAAGCACCCTAAGTGGAAAAGAGGTCATAGTTTGTTTACAAGCTTTGACAGTCACTTTAAAGCAATTCAGTTATGTGTTAGCATTACTCGCACCCAATGTACTGGGTTGCAATTAGTCTCTATGAACAAAATGACCCCAGTGTTACAACTAAACAAATGAAAGGGTACCTGGCAGATCCTATCAGAATGAGTTGAACACTGAGCAACCAGAAAGAATCCTGGAGGGCAAACGGTGCATCTCTCACAACGGGGCTTCTCAGCGCTGAAGTCACAATACTCATCTGTTTGGCAGGATCCACATCCAATAAGAGGTCTGTCAGCATCCGTAACACTAGCATCCATGTTCATCTTATGCATTGTGAAGGCTTCTTGAGAATAGGTCCTAACCTGAGATTGGAGACCTTCCAAATGACTCTCAATGCCTCCTTGTGGGCTTACTACAGTCAACTGTTTGACACTGTCAAGAAGAAGGCTGTATTGAGTCTTGACTTCATCCATCTTGTCAAACATGATCCGTTGTTGGTCCAGTATTTCTCTTTGGTGGGCTAGAAGAGCACTTTGCTGTTCTCTCAGCGCGCTCTGGATTTGTTTAACCTCCTCTTGCTGCCCATGCAGCTGTGCAACCAGTTTATCCTGACCCTTTGCCAAGTGCAAATGCAGCACTAAAGCATCTTCAGAATTGACCTCATTTGTGCCTGTTCAAAATTAAGAAAAAGCATGACTTTTTTAGATCAAATAAAGTAGGAATGCACGATATGCAGTTGAAGTCAAAATTATTAACCTCCCTTTTATTTTTATTTAAATTTTTTAACATTTCCCAAATGTTTAACAGAGCAAGGAAATGCTCACAGTATGTCTGATAGTATTTTTTCCTCTGGAGAAAGTTTTATTTGTTGTATTTAGGCTAGAATGAAAACAGTTTTAATTTTTTTGAAAACCATTTTATGGTCAAAATTATTAGCCCCTTAAGTATTATTTCGATAGTCTACAGAACAAACCATCGTTATACAGCGTCATCATGGCGAAGATAAAACAAATCAGCTATAAGAAATGTGTTATTAAAATTATTATGTTCAGAAATGTGTTGAAGAAACCTTCTCTCTGGAAAACAGAAATCGGGGAAAAAATAAACAGGGCTAATAATTCAGAGGGTCTAATAATTCTGACTTCAACTGTATATCGGCAGTCATATCAATATCAGCTGAAGCATTTTTCGATTTATTTGTTATGTTATTGTTATCAGTCTGATAACAAAATTAGACTGTTATCTTTATGGAGATCAATTATCACTAGAACCCCATTCATATGCTTTCTACCTGGCACTATTTTAAATTATTTTACCATTATTTTGATTTTGGTTTATGATTAGTGAATTGGTTAATTTATATAGGTTTTTTTTTTTAAATTCAGGCAATATATTTTATTTTTAAGGCAAAGTTGACCATAAAAGAGAATAGTTTATTAATAAAGTTCAGATATCAGTTCAATCTTTTCTAGTTATGATTTTAAAATAAATATAATATAATATTGCCTAATATATCAGCCTCCAAAGAGTTATCAGTAAGTTAAACAGAATCTGCAGACCTTTTTTGCTATTTTAACGCACCCAGCAGGCGCACAAAGTCATAAGATGATAATATTAGGTTAGAGTTAGTTCGTGATGCCAGGTGACTAAAATTCAATGTTTAGCCAGCATCTAAAGAAAACGTTATTTTGATGTCCAATGACGACAACAAATTGATATTTGGTTGATTTTAGGTTTAGTTGGAAAGTGAACAAAATCCAAAGTCGAGCCAACATCTAAAACCAACGTCATATTGACATTCATTCATCAGGTATGGCAACCAAAATCTAACGTCTGATAGACGTCATAGTGGTAGCGTCCACACAATGTAAAAGCTGTAACATCATTATTAAATTGTTTTTAAGTTTCATTAAAAAGTGACCAAATTCAACGTCTGACCAATTTTGGTTCTGACGTCAACCTGATGTTCATTTCTACCCAAAATGCTACGTCCCCACAACATTGGGGTGCAACTTCAATCTGATGTCATGTGTCTGCTAGGCAGAATATTGTGAAAAAAAATGCTGAAAAAAGATTTATACTGACTTTTTACCTACTGAAATCAGAAAATATTACTTTACAAACTGTATTGCAGCGAATCCCGGCCCACAAGGGGGCCTCACCCAGATCTGTGGGGGGTTGTGTCATATTTTAAAAACTTCTCACTATTTCACCTTCAGCAGCAAATAGTAATGACTCTTGCATACTGGACCCAAGTAAGGAAGCTCCAAACATTTTAGGTCGCAACGCTAGCAATACTGGAAACACGAAATGCAGGAAATACCAAGATAGTTACCTGAACTATGATTTTATTCCGTTTTCACAAAGCAAAGAGTCCCTGACCCAGCCACAGAGCATTATCTGCAAGTTCTTGCTAACGAAAGCATAAGGCCATCCATATTAATAAGACACTTGCGGACGACTCATCCCCAATACAGCAGGGTGGACTCAATACAAATGGCCTACTGATGATTTGCCTTTAGATTTTGTATTAGGCAATAATTTGTGCATAAACATATCTAGATATAGTAATAAAGGTAACACTTTACAATAAGGTTCATTAGTTAATGCATTTACTAACATGAACTAATCATAAACAACACATGTACAGCATTTATTAATCATAATTGAACCTTTACTAATGCATTACTAACATCCTAGTCTATGCTTGTTAGCATTAGTTAACGCACCATGAGTTAACATAAACTAACAACTGTATTTTCATTAACTAACATTTACTAA